ATACATTTTTTTAATTTCTTTACAAGAATCCAGTCTTCGGTAATAGACTTGCGACCTGGGTATGGGCACCAATGACCCCCCCCCCACAACTCAAAAAAGGAAGAAGTGAGTAAAGATGATGGATGGATGAATGGATGGATGGATGGATGGATAAATGGATGGATGGATGGATGGAAGGAATCCAGTCATTTCTTTGTCTTGAAATTAAAAATATCAATAAATGTTAACAATCATTTGATGTTTTTAGTTTTATAATTTCCCACCTACAGGCCAGAAAAGCCCCCTCTAACAAACTTAAAGTGGCCCATGGGCCACCAGTTGATAATGACAATTGTAGCAGCTGTTGCATCTCTGGACACGTTTAGTGAACGAAGGTGCAAAAATGTCTCTTGATCCTGAAGGTTGCAGACCCCTGGATTAGAATAATGTCCTGATGCATGCTCAATAATCCAGGTAGATAAATTAACAAGGTTGAGTCAGAACCCGTCCAGAGGACGTGACTCAACCTTGTTAGTTTAGACTGATGTTAATTTGTTGTAGCAGCTATTTTGAATTAGGCTGAATAATGTACAATAGTTCATTCAACCTTTGTTTATACAGATTAATCCCCTTGAGCCTCAGGGACTCATTTACAAGAGAGACCTGAGACAGTTGTCAACAGTAGTTGAACAGCTATAACTTTCTGAGAGTGTCATTTAAACTCGCTCAGTATTTTTGTGAGACGTTTAATAATCGCACACAAGCCTTGGTGGGTGAAAAACATGAATATAATGGTGTGTATGATTGTAGATAATGTCAAACAAGGACCATCAGTTCATTTTTTCGTTAGAGTGTCATTTTTTATTTACCGTCGTAAGACTCAGGGTTGAAGTGTTTCATTTTGTTCAAGATAAAGTTATTAAAATTTGATCTCATCTAAGATATATGTAGCTACTGAATGAAATGACTACAATGCAACGAAAACCGCCCTTTGTACCTCGTGGCCTGTCCGCGCTCTGCTATTTATGGCCAG